CTGGGTCTGCTCGCGGGTTCCTGCTTTATGACAAGATCTGTTTCGATCGGAAAGCACCCCGTCAACATCACCTTCACGACTGCCTGCGCTCTCCCCTCGCCCTTCGTGTCGTCACGCTGCTCCTATATCTTGCCTCGTTCGACTTCCCAGCCTACACGCCTCTCATACCTTCAGCTCCTCTTACACTCAGTCCTACTATCAGCTTTCATACCTCTCATCAGCCCTTTACCTACTAACATCATTCCTACGTCTCACCTGCTTGGCTGTGAACCTCAGCTCACGAGCCCATCACCTACGACCTACCTTCACCCAAGCGCACATGTATGCAACTCCTTCGTGGCATTCACCAGTTCTCAGCTGACACTGTTGACCTCTAGCCACCCCCTCGGAAAGCGTCATGGTTCTGCCAGGCATGAAGTCGAGATACACTGAAGACCCCAACCGGCCTGGAGAGCCACGTCTCGCTAGTTTCGGATGGCTACCAAACAGAGCCCGCCATCTCTTCATCTCCTTCGCGGGTGAATTTGTCGGCACCTTCCTCTTTCTGTTCTTCGCCTTCGCTGCTACACAGGTCGCCAACAACCTTCGCGGTGACAGGTCAATGGACATTGGATCACTGCTGTACATCTCCTTGGCTTTCGGCTTTTCGCTCGCAGTCAATGTTTGGGTCTTTTTTCGCATCAGTGGAGGTCTCTTCAATCCTGCCGTAAGTGCACTCAAGCTTCTTGGTAAGAATGGACATCCTGACACGGCCTAGGTCACGATCGCCATGGGCTTCGTCGGAGCGCTTGGGTGGCTGAAAGTCATACTGCTAATCGTTGCGCAACTTCTCGGCGCCATTGCTTCCGCTGCAGTGGTATCTGGCCTTTTTCCAGGACCACTGTCCGTGAACACCACCCTCAGCAAAGAAACCTCGGTAACCCGAGGTCTTTTCATCGAGATGTTCCTCACATTCATGTTGCTGTTGGCCATTTTCATGTTGGCAACAGAGAAGCACAAGGCGACGTTCGTCGCTCCGGTCGGTATCGGTCTTGCTCTCTTCATCGCGGAGCTGGCTGGTTTGTACCAACTTCGAAGTTTCCCAACACATTGATGCTAACAAACACAGGTGTATACTTCACTGGAGGCTCACTGAACCCAGCGCGCTCTTTTGGACCTGCTGTCGTGACCGGTGTGTGGCCTGGCCACCACTGGATTTACTGGATTGGACCACTCTTCGGCGCTATCCTAGCATGTATCTTCTACCGTCTGATGAAGATGCTCGAGTACGAGACTGCCAATCCCAGCGCAGACCACGATGGCCGGGAAGCGTACCACGAGCATGGAGCTGGTCGAAGCTCTACCCATTACGAGGCCACATCTGGTATGTCCCCGTGCTACTTCGGGAGACACTACTGACTTCTCTGCAGCTCGACAGGCGACCGATGGAACAGACGAGTATGACTTTGCGAAGCAGCTACGATCCGGCACCAGACAGCCTACCATGACCCAGCGTCAAACAATGCCTTCCTTCGGCACCCTCTCTACCTCCACAGGCCACACTGAGAAGCTAGCGGCACCGCTGCCGGTGCATATGCAGACGCTCGATGGCCACCGATCCGACACCGTCAACCATCCCGAAGATCGTCCTCGCGCCCACCACTACCGCGGCTCGTCGTCGTACGAGATGACATCCGACTCGAGCTACCGCAATGGACCGAGTGCGGAGTCGGGCAGCTCGGAGTCATAGACCGGCTCGCCGACGAGCTCGAGCTCAGGGTCGCGCCGTTCGCCGAGCGCATAGGATGACAAGCAGCCGAAGAGTATATTCGGCAGCGCCTTGTATTGGCCTTGCTGTTTCCTGCCACATTTCATACTCCAGGTGTGTTTCTGTCCACATACGTGAGAAGCTGTAGCTGGGTGTCGCTGCGTTGCGGGCTTGATAGAAGGGACTGGGCATGGTGATGGTTCGCTACCTAGGGGATCTCTTCCATTTCTTCAATTATGACACAAGCCTTGACATCACTGAGTGCGCATTGCAGCGAGCCGTGAGTTTGCATTAGTGAGAGTGGCTTACACCGATTGGGAGTGGACGCCCATCTTTGAGCTTGCTCTGGCTCGGATCCGGGCGCTCATATTGAGCCCACTTTCGCTCGGATCCGAAAGCAGTATTCGACAGTTCCTGACAAACTTCCTTATTTAGACTGCGTAGACGTCTATCTTTAACCTTGTTTTAGCCCGGATCCGAAACCAACCATCGACGGCTCTCGATACATTGCCTCGAGTGGACGCCTACCCTTAGACTTGCTTTGACTCGGATCCGAAAGCCGAATTCAACGGCTTTCGACAAACTGCCTCATTTGGAGTGCGCAGACGACTATCTCTAAGCTTGCTTTGGCTCGGATCCGAATCACATGCCGAATGTAAGCCTTGGCTTTATTGTACCGCAACTATTGTTCTCGGATCCGAGACTAGCAATCAACGGCTTTCGACAAATCGCCTCATATGGACTGAATAAAAGCCTATCTTTGAGTTTGGTTTGGCTCGGATCCGAATGTAGCAATCGACAGCTTTCAACAAATTGCCTCCTTTGAAATGCGCAAACGTCCATGTGCTTGCGTTTTCTCGGATCCGAAGATATGGCCAAGGGATTACCACCGCGAGGGTGATTCGGATCCGAAAGCGGTGATCGATGGCTGTTGATAAACTGCCTGATTTGGACTGCGTAGACATCTTCAAGTTGGCTTTGGCCCGGATCCGAAGTGATGGCGAAGGGATTACCTCCACGAGAGTGACTCGGATCCGAAACCAACAATCGACGGCTTTCGACTATTACCTCGTTCGCACTGCGCCGACCAACAAACAAATCCTTTCGGATCCGAAACATGAGTCTCAACAAGCTTCGCTACGCCACTACATAGAACTCAAACGCCCTTGATGTGTGCTCGACCGAAGGCATGCGCACATGGTCTAGGCCGTGTAAAGGTGGACGGAGTGATCAGGTACGAGCGGTCGATCGACCTCCGAACAGTCAAGAAGCAGACATTGCACGGTCCAAAGCTACGCCGACGCGCAAGGCCCCTCTACTGATGGCTTCCACCGGAATCACAATTGCACGGGTATGTCGCAAGTGTTTTACGCCCCTCTTCCCATAGAGTATTGGTGGAGGGGTAATTGACAAAGCGTTACTCTTTCGCCGACTGAGGAGAGTTGATAGAAGATGGTCTACTTCTCCACTCGCAGTAATTGCGGCGATGATGTCGTCGAGTACCTCGCGCTGGGCGCAGGTCCTCAAGAGCTCATCCTCACTTCCAACATCACGTATCCGGTACTCACATGTCATGCGCAACATGGAAAACTTGATTGTATTGCTATCCACTTTAGTATACACAGCCCTTTCCACCGGGTATGAGGTTGCGCCGTTGCGCGCCTCGATCGCTGAGGCCGTGTTCGTTGCGCCGCGAAGGCCGTCGTGATTGCGTCGCGGGCGGGGTGCGCGGTATGTAAAGGACACCGACCAGTTTATTGAATCAGAGATGCCGTCAAAGCGTCCGTTATGTAACAAGGTGTGTGTGCCGGACGCGGAAGTCATGCAACCACATCCAAATCTACCAATGAACCACTTAAGCCCCCGAAAGGAAGAGTTCAAAGGCGGATGAGGAGAGCTGCTCAGCTGATACACGCTAGGCTTTCATCATCTGGCGGGTTTGTTAGTATTGGCGCAAGGGCATTTGCGACAACAGGGTGACTTACGTGTTATAAACTGGAGGGATAGCGAGAGGAACTGGGTGTGGGCGCCGGAAACATTTTGAAGCTTCTGCAGCATGGTCTGGGCGGACGCTAACCGTGGTGGGGCTAGTGGCGGGTGCGGCTTGGCGTGTTTTCGAGATTTGGCTGCGCGCTCGTTGGAGATATCGCAATCGCCCTGATACCTGCGAGAGCTCGATCGCTCGCTGCAATACACTATGAGTCTTGCACGTGTTTCACGAAGTGTGCTGAAACGGGACAACGGCTTGCGCAGCTCCTACGCCGAGATTTCGCGGTTTTGTCGAACACCCCATCACGGGACCACGCCGAGTCGTGCAGGCCTATGTCTGAGGCACGCAACGCGAGGCTTCGCGACTTCACAGACACGCAATCAGGATGAAAACCTGCAGAAGACTCTTGATTACTTCAAGGCCACCAGTATGACTCCATCGACATATCAAATGCATTTGCTCACCAAGTCGTAGTTCGACCATCCTCATGGAAGGATCTAAATGATGAATGGAATAAAGTCACTCATAGTCCTCCAGGCACGGAAGTTGAGGTCTCCGGTTATATCAGCGCACGGCGAGATGTTAGCAGCAAACTCTCTTTCACGATGCTTCGCCACAAGAACCAAGGAGTATGTGTCCAACTCGTCTCTAAACCTCTAGATAATGAAGCGGATGGACCGGACGCCCATAAGACCCTGCGGTTGTTGAAAGAGTGGACTCCCGTCATAGTCCGAGGAAAGCTAGTTGAGCGCAAAGGGGCCAAGACCGACACATTCGCGGGTATGAACCTGCTCGGTACCCGGGAGATCGCTGTGGAGCACGTCCAGCCATTGAACAACATATCGGATGATATCATCATAAAAGATGACACTGTATTTGGCCCAGACCAAAGGCATCTACAGCTTCGCACAGACTCGAAATTGCGCGACGATCTCTTCCAACGGTCGAAAGCCATGGCTAGAGCAAGACTGCACTTGAACCATTACAATTGGAAGGAGATCGAAACGCCTATACTGTTCAAATCGACTCCTGAAGGCGCAAGAGAGTTTCTCGTGCCGACACGGCAAAAAGGATTGGCATACGCGCTGCCTCAAAGCCCACAGCAATACAAGCAGATACTCATGGCGTCGGGCATCACGAAATACTACCAATTTGCTAGGTGTTTCCGAGATGAGGATCTGAGGGCCGACAGGCAGCCAGAATTCACCCAGGTCAGCACTACCATTTCTCTGATGGAGACTCCGCTAACTGGAACAGCTCGATATGGAGATGTCTTTCGCTAACGAGGAAGACGTCATGCACGAGACAGAAGCTCTACTGAGAGATCTGTGGTATAAAGTCCTTGGAATAAAGAAAGAGAAGAAGTTTGCGCGAATGACCTATCAGGAAGCAATGGCTGCATATGGATCTGATAAACCAGACCTAAGATTCAAGGCAAAGGTGCGTAGCTGACGCTACCTAGCTGTCTCCTGAAGCTAATAAGTATAGATTCACACCATTACGGAACATCTGACAGCCGATTTGATCGGCAAGATCAGTTCTCTTCAAGATCCGGTCGTCGATGCCATGAAGATACGAATATCCGATGACCCTAAAACGACCCGCAAGTTCGTCGCCGACTTTCTTGACAGCCCGGACGGAAAGGTCTTCCTCGACAACCCTGACGGTCAACCGGGTATCTTCATCGGCGATGTTTCACAGCCCATGCAGGGACTCGGACCACTGGGCTACCAATACGTGATGGAGGGCCCTGAAGCGCTGGCGGTGGAAAACGGCGACCTTCTTGTCCTCCAGGCACGACCCAACGCGCCCTTCTCGGGCGGCTCAACCATGCTGGGAAACCTGCGTCTTGCTCTCCACAAAGCAGCCATAGCAAAGGGACTAATTGAAGCACCTAAGAGTACTAAATTCGTCTGGATCACAGACTTCCCATTGTTCACCCCGTCGAGCGACAGTGAACCGGGCCAAGGTGGCTCAGCTGGCTTCTCATCAACGCACCACCCTTTCACCGCTCCAAAGACACCCGAGGACGTCGACTTGCTACTCACTTCGCCTTCATCTGCGGTAGCAGCACACTACGACATTGTGGTCAACGGCGTTGAGCTCGGCGGCGGCAGTCGCCGTATCCACTCCGCCGCCATGCAAGAATTCATCTTCAAAGATATTCTCAAAATGAAGCCCGAACGCGTAGAGGACTTCAGACATCTGCTTGATGTGTTGAGGAGCGGCTGCCCGCCTCATGCGGGTATTGCACTGGGATGGGATCGGTTGATGGCTGTTATGTGCAACAGGGATAGCGTGAGGGATGTCATTGCTTTCCCGAAGAGCGGAAGAGGGGAGGATCAGTTGGTCAAGAGTCCGAATCGTATGACGGAGGAGCAGTTGGAGACATATCACTTGAGCTTGAGGGAGTAGGTTGGAAATGGTGGAAGACTGAGATGTACGATAAAGTGTTGTGTGTATAATATCGTGGTAGATACCATGAGAAGACCGCTTTGATCAGCAGTAGTAGTCGCATAAGTGGGGTGACTTTACTCGTACCTTGTCGCATGTAGGTCAGGAAGCCGCTGATGTCCAGCAATCACGACTTATCAACAGCCAGAGTACCTACATACCCTGTCAATGACCCCTCGCCTGCCCAGGAAGGCCGCAGGGTGAAGATTACTGAAATGCAGTCATACACAGAAGGAGTATGACGAGCTGACGATCATGGCGAACGACCAACGTCGAACCGTTACACGACATTACTCTTGGCGCTTATCTCGGACCAAAATCCCTTCTCTGGATCCATTGGCAGATTCCTCATGCTTTGGAGCGACGTTGCGCGCAGGATAGATGCATGTTTGCACTTTACCCTGCTTCCTATCATGCTGTGTTTGCGGTTAAATCCGTGAATGAATCACAACGCATGGATGAGCTGTGCAGCTCATTTGACCGATCGCTACCCTCAGAGCCGTATAAAAGCGTGCCTTAGCTCCCACTAGTCGCGTAACGAAGTATACAGTGTCCTTTGGCTGCATTGGATACCTAGGTGACTGCATCATCACGTGCATCATCGACCCTCTTTCCACGTGCATCATGGCGGAATCCACGTACAAGATCCCAGAAGAGTACCAGTCACAGCTGAAGTATGTGGCGTCGAAAGACAACCGTACCGATGCCGAGATTCTGGATTCCTTGACGAAGCATGCACCCATCACGTCCGAGAAGAACATTTGGACGTTCTGGCATGCCGGCGTACAGCAGATGCCAACATGGACACAGCGCAACATCATCAACTGGGTGCGACTTCACGGCTCTGAGTGGACGATTCGCGTGCTCGACACGGTGCCAAACTCGCCAAATCACGCGTTGACTTGGATGTCGATCGACCTTCTTCCGGAGACCTTCGTGAAGGGTACGATGACGGGGCCGTACGTAGGTCCTCATAGCGCCGACTTCCTGCGTGGCGCAGCACTGTACACGTATGGTGGCGTCTGGATGGACGTCGGATGCATCGTGTTCCGCAACCTCGACAAAGTCTGCTGGGACCAGCTTGGGGACGACGACAGCCCATTTACAGTCGCTGCGCCACTGGTGTATGGACAATTCATGGCGAATCATGTCGTCGCCTCCCGAAAAGGCGACGAGTTCATCAAGAACTGGCGCGTTATACCCACTCAGCCATGATTCATCAGACTGACTGTGAACAGGCACCTGATCTTCCTGGAGCTCTGGAAGGGACGTACCGACTTTACTGGCGTGGTGCAGTCGCCTCTTATCAGCTTCATCAAGCAAATGAATAGCAAGGATCTTCAAGACTCCGGATTTAAATGGGAGTGGAAAGTCGACGAGCAGACTCTCATCGGGTACATTGGGCAGTGCCTCGCCTGGATACGCTTGACGTGGCTGCAAGAACCCAACGGCGGTTTCGATGGCGTCACCTACTGGGCTGAGAAGGTCTTGCTGTGGCATGCGCTATCTGAAGACTTTCCTGCTGAGAACACTCTTGGCTTCGATATTAGCGCAGACTTTCTCAAGCTTTTGGCCATGAGCGTGGATGCTGACGAGTCCGACGCGGTATACGAGAAGGCGAAGAAGGCCACGTGGGGGATGTTGACGCAGAGTGTGATGCAGAAGATCACACATGGCAAAGGGCTGGGCGAAACAATTCATATTGGCACGTTGCTGGACCTTCCGGAGAATGAGGGTATCGATGCTGCGCCTGGTACGTTGGCAGGACTACTGCGATATGGCAGCGTGCATCTGGAGCAGACAAGAGACTTGCCGTATATCAAGGCCCCTGCGGTGGATCCCGAGTTCATTCTTCACAAGGGATTACTGGAGGCGTGAAATGGACATCCGCCGAGACAGTGCTTTGAGATCCGGGCGGTCGGAAACCAAAACTCTTTGTCGTATAATCTGGAGGTCTTTTGTTGAAGTTGCAGCCTTGACAAGGCGAGATGGGCGCAGTGCGAAGCATAGCCGTGCAGGCTTCCGCAATCAAACTTGAAATCAGGCATGCGGGAGGACGAGCTTCCAGCTGCCGGGTCGCAAGCGGCAAATACCTAGGTAGTCTGTGCACCCACGTATGACATCATCTCTCTCTCCTTTGATGACATGTCCCAACCTCCTTGGGTGCATCCTTGCGTTTCCTTACTACTTCGCCTCCGACCATCTAGATTGACAATTTCCTCGCCAAAAGCAGTCGCCGGATCCCAATGAGTCGAACCTCGGCAGCCCCGTGTTCAATTATCATGCGCCACAGCGACTGCGCCACAAGTTCAGCCATGATGCTCTTCTAGCTTCGATGACGGTCACCCTGATGCGCACGCCCAGAACACGCTTCTCATCGTCGCTGTCATTCTTGCCCCGCTGAGATTACTGAGCGGAGGGTGTGACGAGATGCGCACGACATAAGACCGAACAGGCGCTTTCCAAGACAAGGCAGAATCTGATGAGTGCAGTTGGTCAATTGTGATTGGACGCCATGTCAAGTTAGCCTGAGGCGGCAAAGCATGTCTCGACAGAGACATGGAACTTGTATCGGGCATATGCCCACGGATGGGACCTTCCAAAGCATGTTCAAGAGATTCAGACGGCGATGTGCGATGCAGAGTTCTATCGGCCTAAGCGATCATGCTTTCGGGGGTCTTGTCCAAGGTGCCCATGGGTGGCGAGTCTCTACAAGGGCTATCGACAAGGTCCTATACGTCTACGTTCCTGTTACCTCGAAGCGACACGAGCAGAAGGCTGAATACCTGAACTCTTGATGACAGCCCCAGGCAGAGATGTTATATAGGTAGGCTGGAGCAGCCGACAGTCGAGTAAGCTAAACCGAAGATGGCTAAGCGACGAGCAAAGCCTCAGTGGCGCTACCGTGGCGCAGGTTAAGCCCTGCTAGCCTCTCTCTGATCTGCAAGTTGGACATCGAAGCGACACTCAATCGTGACTTCAGACTATCGCTTGTTCATTCTTCTCACCTTGTTTCTGTTTCAACAGTCTTTGTGCAGTCGTCCATAGCGATGCGATGGAAGCGGACGCTGAGGGCCTCCGCGCTTCATTGCGCTCGGATGGGGTTTGCACTGCCCCCTTCCAAGACCACCGGACTTCTTGACAGCCGCTCATCTCGCTATGAACGCCGTTAGTGGCCAAAAGCATCAAATCTCGCCTCCTTGGCGACAAGTCTACAGCTCAACCATCGATGCGACGTAGGCGGAGGGCTGAGTTCTCGGTCATTCTACCAAGTGTTCGATGTGTAGATGTCACCTGGGCCGCGAAGGCAAAAAAACGCCGCGGAATGATCGTTCCTCAGGAGGCTACTAGGTGCCAAGCGAGGCTCTGGCGGAGTACGTATCACATCAGGTAGACCAATATCGCGCACCAAGCGCCTGGCAGTCTTGGGGGTGGCCCACACTTACACAGCCCGCTTCAACCTTGAAAGAGTATATGGCAGCTTGAGAGGCTTCCGTCCTCCGCCTTGTTACAATCCAGCTCTTATACTGTTATCACATAGTCTCTATTTCCTTCAAGTACGATCATCAACTGCATCTTTCCAGCAGTCCATTTGCATTTACACTATCATACGTCAAATATGGAGTCCGGCAAACTTGCCCCTCCGACACTCCAAATCAACACGCGACAGCGTGCTCTGAGTCAGGCAGACACGGTCACATCACAAACATCAGACCCCTTCCGGACACCAATATCACCAAGCAATGCGTCCACAAGTGGTGCATCGACGGTAGTAGGAGACTACGATGCAGCGTTGCAAAATGAGTTGCGCGCTGAAGCTAAAGCCGACACGAACAACCCCTTCGCCTTCACACCATCACAGCTCAGCAAACTGTTGAACCCCAAATCGCTTCCTGTATATCAAGCATTGGGAGGCATCCACGGTATCGCAGCCGGACTACAATCAGACACTCATTCCGGTCTGAGTGCCGACGAATCGACAGTTGCGAGACACATTTCCTTCGACGAAGCAACAAATCCACAAACACCTACAAAGGAGAAAGAATCAAGTCGGCCGCCAAGTGACGGAAAGCCCTTCGAGGATCGCATACGCATACACGGACGGAACGTACTACCACCAAAGAAGGTCACCCCTCTATGGAGACTTGTCTGGAACGCCTACAATGACACTGTACTTATTGTTCTTACTGTTGCAGCGGCCATCTCGCTCGCACTTGGACTCTACGAAACATTTGGTGCGGAACATCCACCGGGATCTCCTACACCTGTGGACTGGGTCGAGGGTTGCGCAATTGTTGTAGCTATCGTCATCGTGGTACTCGTCACCGCCGTAAATGACTGGCAAAAGGAAGCAGCATTCGCAAAGCTCAACGCGAAGAAGGAACAACGCGATATCAAAGTCACACGATCGGGAAAGACCGCTATGATCAGCATCTACGACGTCCTAGCCGGCGACATCATACACCTGGAGCCTGGCGATGTCATTCCAGTCGACGGAATCTTTGTGGATGGCTCCGACGTCAAGTGCGACGAGTCTTCTGCTACGGGAGAATCAGACGCCATGCGCAAGACACCAGGTGCCGCTGTCATGAAGGCACTTGAGTCCGGTCAGTCCACCAAGGGCCTTGACCCCTTCGTCATCTCCGGTGCAAAGGTTCTCGAGGGCGTCGGTACCTTCATGGCGACATCTGTCGGAGAGAACAGCAGTTTTGGCCGTATCATGATGTCTGTCCGCGTCGAGATCGAGGAGACACCACTACAGGCGAAGCTCGCTAAGCTTGCCATGGCTATCGCTTACCTCGGAACTGCGGCTGCTGGTCTCCTCTTCTTTGTCCTTCTCTTCCGTTTTGTTGGTGGGCTATCTGGTGATACCCGATCTGCATCTCAGAAGGGTTCAGCATTTATGGATATCCTTATCGTTGCTGTAACCATTATCGTGGTAGCAGTCCCAGAAGGTCTTCCACTAGCGGTCACGTTGGCATTGGCTTTCGCGACAACCAAGATGCTGAAGGAGAACAACCTTGTCAGGATCTTGCGCGCGTGTGAGACTATGGGCAATGCTACAGCCATTTGCTCAGACAAGACCGGTACTTTGGTAAGTACTATTTCTCGATTGGACATGAACATATGCTAATACCTCACAGACAACCAACCGAATGACGGTCGTTGCCGGCACTTTCGGCACCACCAGCTTCGTTCACGCGGACACTGCCTCGGAGAAGGACCAAACCATCTCGGCATGGGCATCTAAGGTCTCGGCTGCTGCGAAGCAGCTTCTCATCCAATCCATCGCAATCAACTCTACAGCTTTCGAAGGCCAAGAGGACGGCAAGTCTGTCTTCGTCGGATCCAAGACTGAGACTGCGCTACTTGAGCTCGCCAAGGAACATCTCGGACTCGTCTCGCTGTCAGAGACCCGTGACGGCGAGCAGGTGGTACACATGTTCCCCTTCGACTCGGCCAAGAAGTGCATGGGTGCCGTTGTAAAGCTCCCGAACGGACACTACCGCCTCGTCGTCAAGGGTGCATCTGAGATCCTCCTCAGCTTTTCTTCTGCATTTGCGCACTTCGAGTCACTCGAGACAGAGCCGCTGTCGCAAGAGCACCGCCAGGTACTGACCGAGGCGATCAACGCATACGCGAACCGATCTCTCAGGACTATTGGACTAGTGTACCGCGACTTCGAGCAATGGCCACCGGTCAACGCCACGCTCACTGAGGGTGGCAGTGTCGACTTCGCCTCCCTGCTGCGCGATCTTACATTCTTCGGGCTAGTTGGTATTCAGGACCCCGTTCGCCCTGGTGTGCCCGAGGCTGTTCGCAAGGCACAGAAGGCTGGTGTCACGGTCAGGATGGTTACCGGTGACAACATGCAAACTGCGCGAGCGATCGCTACTGAGTGCCTGATCTATACCGAGGGCGGGTTGGTAATGGAGGGACCAGACTTCCGCCGCCTTACTGAAGAGCAGCTCGATAAGGTACTGCCGCGACTACAGGTGCTGGCCCGCTCATCACCTGAAGACAAGCGCATCCTCGTTCAGCGTCTCAAGACCCTTGGCGAGATTGTCGCTGTGACTGGTGACGGTACCAACGATGCCCCAGCACTGAAAGCAGCAAACGTTGGCTTCTCCATGGTCTCTGGCACTGAGGTTGCCAAGGAAGCCTCTTCGATCATTCTCATGGACGACAACTTTGCCTCCATCATCACCGCGTTGATGTGGGGTAGGGCTGTTAACGACGCCGTCCAGAAGTTCCTCCAGGTAAGCCATACACCATCTTCCAGTTCATTCCAGCCAGCTAACATGCGTAGTTCCAAATTACTGTCAACATCACCGCCGTGGTTCTCGCATTCGTGACCGCGGTCTACGATGACGAGATGAAGCCAGCCCTCAGAGCCGTACAGCTTCTTTGGGTCAACCTCATCATGGACACCTTTGCCGCCCTCGCCCTTGCTACCGACCCACCGACCGAGAAGATCCTCGACCGCCCACCGCAGGGCAAAGGCCCTCTCATCACAACAACGATGTGGAAGCAAATCATGGGCCAGAACATCTACAAGATCACTGTCATCTTCGTGCTATACTTCGCCGGCGGCGACATCCTTGGCTACGACCTTTCCGACCCCAATAAGCAACTCGAGCTCGACACAGTCATCTTCAACGCTTTCGTCTGGATGCAAATTTTCAACATCTTCAACAACAGGCGTCTAGATAATAAGCTCAATGTTCTTGAGGGTGTATTCAGAAACTGGTTCTTCATCGGCATCGTCGTCATGATTATCGGCCTTCAGGTTCTCATCGTCTTTGTCGGTGGTCGCGCATTCCAGATCAAGCCCGGAGGTATCGATGGTACACAATGGGCTATCAGCATCGTCGTCG